ATACATGTTGTGGGTGACAACTGTATGATTAAAAGAATAAAACTAGTAAAAACTAAAAAATAATATAAAATTAAATAATGAATTGTAAACTTAAAATAATATTAAAAATAAAATGGTTTTGCCTGCAAAATTAAGAATAAAAAGTATGGTAAAATAATATAACCTAAAAAGGTGAAATGATTAAAATAATAATAAAAAATCTTTAAAAAAACACAAGTTAAAATATGTCATTGTACTGGCATTATCTAATGAAATAATTGTATAGTACAGTGTATTATTTGAAACAAGGGGGAAGAGGAAGTGCATTTTAAAATGGACTCTCCTTATTTTTATAGTAATGGTTGTCAGATCTCAGTAACATCATCAGTATTTAAATTCATTCTATTTTCTGTTACAATTTTAATAATTTCCAGGTATTCAAAAAGTTTGATGCTGTTGAGTAAGATCTTGTAACTTGTATGATCGCAGTGCATGGCAATCGCTGAGTTGGAATACTGGTGTCTCCCTACTTATAAACAGGTTAGGTTTCCAAGATTTTGTTGTAAGTTGAAAACTAACCTAGAATGTACATTTATACACAGAATAACCACTTTTTGTTAGTGTTTGATCCCTCAATATACTTAATAGAATACATTATGTTTATCCATTTGCTACTGCTTAGTAGTAGGTGTTTTAAATGCAGTTTGTTTTTTTAACCTAACACACTTAATTTTATAATGTCCAGTTTAGTTTCCAGCGTAAAAGAATATTTTCAAAGAAACAAAAATTAAAATAAAACTCATATTTACAAGATTTCTGGTTTGAATTGATGAGTGAAATTTTTGAAATCAATGCAATTTTACATAAAATAATTGTAAATCACATGAGTATACATTTTGTCTGTTTATTTTCTATTAAAAATGTGCATTTTCTCTTCTTTGAAAATTTATTTTTAGAATTGCTGTCTGTTAAAAGTAAATTTAAAGATTTTTACATTTGGGAGGGACTATATGAATATTATAAATAAATTGATATTTTAAGCTATTAAGTTAAATTAAAAAATTCATTAATTATAACTAACTCCCAATATCACATTAAATTGTTGTGCATGGCAGTAAAAAAATCATCTTTCAGTGTGATTTCTGTGATTCTTACTGTTTATATCATAAGTATACAGTAAAATCCATAAATGTAAAAATCTTTAAATTTACTTTTAACAGACAGCAATTCTAAAAATAAATTTTCAAAGAAGAGAAAATGCACATTTTTAATAGAAAATAAACAGACAAAACGTATACTCATGTGATTTACAATTATTTTATGTAAAATTGCATTGATTTGAAAAATTTCACTCATTAATTCAAACCAGAAATCTTGTAAATATGAGTTTTATTTTAATTTTTGTTTCTTTGAAAATATTCTTTTATGCTGGATCAGCAATTATCAATATAATTGATAATGTCCACTAAACTGGACATTATCAATTATATTGATAATTGCTGTAATAATTTAATTCCCTAAGAATTCATATTAGCTCAGCTTAAAGCTTTTCCCAAGATTTCTGATTTGAATTGATGAGTGAAATTTTTCAGTATTGAATATTTTATTCAAAATTCAATATTTCAATATTTATAAACAATATTCTCTGCTGTGATAAAACTCTGTTTAGCAATGTTATTTTACTGTAAAGGAAAATACTGTGTATTTTATGAATATACAGCTTTTTGTCTTCTTTGTAATGATGATGCAGTAAATTAAATTTTAATTTTGATCAGTAAGCATCAGTGCAGATGAGAATAGAATTTGCCAGATTTAGTGTGTTTTTGGTATTTTAGTGCCTAATCTCATTTAACATAATAAAATTCTCTTATAAAATATACATAGATGTCTTAGTGTTGCGAATTACACTTCCAAAATAGACAAAGCATTTTCCTTAAGAAATTATATTTTAGAATTAGTTTAGTTTTGCTTTTTGTGTTAGTTAGACCATTTTTTAACTAGGAATATTCAGGTTCTGACTGCTTTTTAGATTTTGATGTTTAACATACTGTTGAAATAATCTATACTAATATTATAAAGAGGTAAGTTTGGATGTAGGATGTAATCTCTGAAACTACTCATCCGCTTTCAAAAATTCTTTCACCAATATTTAGAATGGAACTTCAGGGTGGACATAGGCTGTATATAATTCCATTAAACATTCATATAAATTAAAAGATATCACCTAGTATTAAGGCTTTTATGTCCAACAGATGGCGTTAACTCCACAAGTACGACGACCTAAGTTTGCTTTTCTGTGAGAATGAACTAAAGCAGATTATCTTCTATCTATCTATATAAATAAAAATGTAATGTTCGTTTGTTCCTACTGATTCCTTTGAAATTTTGACAACGTTGCATTCAAATACACACATGTTTTTATATAAATATACATGTCGAAATTTCCCCCACTGGGGGGAGATGGACAGGCTTACCGTGAAGAACGCTGCTTCTATTTATACTATTTTAGATGCGGTATTTTTGCGTTTTAATAGGGTATGTCAAGAGAATGTACACTAAGAAGAGATTTTTCGAAAAATTCCCCCATGGGGGAAGTGTTATACATTTATAATAGATACATTTTGAGCCACAACAATGCGTGGCAGGGTCTGCTAGTCAACAAGTAAAGCTATCTGTAATCAGGAAACAGCTTTATCACCAGACGATCTGTACAAACTTAATGACACCAAGCTGATTCCCCTGGAACCAACTGGAGCCGCGCAATTCAAACAGTCCGCGTATTTTTTGAACAGACCTCATATTAACATAGTTAAAATATCTTCAAAATGTTAGTTTTTAATATGTTTTAACCAACTCACAACCAGGAAGTGGTTTGTTTAAAAGTAATAAACCAATTAGCAGATTATTGATGTTAGTAGCAATAGTCAGTCACTGACAAATATGAGATGAAAATATTAAACTTTTATTGTTACTCCCCCCCAACTTGAAAGTTAATACCTTCCTCTCAAATTTTACACAAAACTGATATTGATAGTGTAAGTTGTGATAATTTACAGCCAGTTTCTGAAATTTGATATATTTATTTTTGTATTTTTGGATCAAATTATAATAATAAAATCCAGCAACAAGCAACTTTCCTGCAACATTTGGTGGCACCATCTATTATGATATTTTATAAAAACTTATATTTTTTAACTATTATAAAATAGCAAAAAGATTAATTTTCATGTCAGAAATGGGTTTTATAAAAAAATTGTAAATGTCAATAAGTAAAATCGTCATTAAGTTCAACCCTACTGGAGATACCTACAACCTCCACAATCTCCCCATCCCCTTGATCTTTAATCACCAAAATTTAATAGCATTAATCCCTCTAATAAACGAACCTCCCTGCAAAATTTCAGAAATTTTCAACAAAAAGCACAGGAGTTATTAAGCTTCAAAGGGCATGTCCCCCACAAGCGGAGGGTTGTATATNATAAATAAAAATGTAATGTTCATTTGTTCCTACCGATTCCTTTGAAGCTTTGACACAATGTTGCATTCGAATACGCACGTGTTTTTATATATTGATAATATACGTGTCAAAATTCCCCTCACTGGGGTGGAGATGGATGCGATTAAGGCTTACCTTGAAGAACTCTGCTTCTATTTATACTATTTAATATGCAGTTTTTTGCGTTTTTGATTGCAATTTAATAGGGTATGTCAACAGGGTATGTCAATATACACTAAAAAGGGATTTTTTGAAATTTCTCCTGCAGGAGAAGTGTTATACATTTATAAGAGATACATTTTGAGCTACAACAACACGTGGCTGGGTCTGCTAGTATGCAATAAAATCACTTAAATTTTGTACTAGAGGAAACTAATAATGTTTTTCTGTTTTAACATTGTCTAATTTTTTGGAAATAACCTATCTTTAGTCCAACAGTGTTAAATGAGAAAGAGGATATTTTTTAAAAACACTAAAACAATAAATCTCTCTACAACAATATTTTATCTTTTTCTTAAATAACTTCCTATGGAGAAATTTAACTAAATTCTCTTTTCTTAGCTAATAAAACAAGCAAACAGTAAAAATAAAGTTGTAATGTAAAAGTAATAAAATCATAAAAGTATAAAATAATTAATTATTTGGATTTTAAAAACAAACTCTAAATTTACTTTTAACAGACAGCAATTCCAAAAACAGATTTTTAAAGAAGAGAAAATGCACATTTTTAATAGAAAGTAAATAAATAAAATGTAAAAACCCATGTAATATACAATTATTTTATGTAAAAATTGCATTGATTTGAAAAAAAAAAATTCATTCATTGAGATGTGAGCCAGCAATCATAAATATGAGTAAGAGATGGTGCTGCTGAACCTTTGATGAAAAGTTCTGCAAAACTTACTCAAAAGTCACTTGGAATTTAACTTTGATTTCTTGAAAACATTGAGAACTCAGTTAAGGTATATATCAAGGGAGCTTATATACACTAAAAATATTGCTGAAATATCTGAGGACTACATCATAACTTCCCCTTGTTAAAGTTACCCAGAGAATCCAAAATACCCAAACTATCAAATCCCTGAGTAGTCTCGTTTTCAGATCCTTACTATATTTAAATTTTATTTCAGCATGTAAATATTTAACTTATAAATTTGATTTTAATAACAATTGAATCAAAGAATTTTTCAAAGTAATTCCATTAATGTATAAATTGTTTTCTTTTATACATAAAAGTATAATACTTGTTTCTTTTGCAATTTATAATTATAAAAAAACATTTATTGTATTAATTTTGTAATGGTACCTATTTTTTTTTTTTATAATTTATTAATAGGTTATGTTTTTATATTTTTGGTGATGAGATTAGATATTTCACATTAAACCTGAAAAATTTATTTTATTTATATATGTACTGTACATTACAGTATGTTACTAAAATAATATGATAAACTATTTTTTATAGTAAAAGAATACCTGATTTTCTGTAAATAAAAGTTAAAAATAATTTTTTTTTTAATTTTAGAAGTTTCCTCAAAAATAATTTCCCAATCTCTTTGGGGGAATGATGCAAATTCAGCACCGTCTAGGCTTCCAAATGGAACTGTGTATTCACAAACAAATTCTGATTCTTCACTATTACAGGAACAGATAACAAAGCCTTTCTTATCTGAAGGTAATATTTTAATTTTAAGTTATTAAAGAAGTAAATATTTTAAGTTATTCATTTTTTAAAAATATAAATATATATACACTAGTTGCAGGATTACAGAATATTTTCAAGAACCAAAATTTTTCCAAAAATGATTGTACACAAAAAAGAAAAAAAAACAATAATTTATGATCCAATTAATACTTATTACTATATAGTTTGAAAAATTCAAATTAAATCATAAACATAACTAAATAGACTTTCCATATTTTTCTGTGTAACATTAAACTGATAAACTAATGTATTAAAAGCATTCTTTTAATTTTTCAAATTAAAAGAATGCTTTAAGCACATCATCATCTTAGGACAGCACATACTTGATGTCATACATGTGACAAACTTGAGTTATAAACTTGATGTAATACATTGATTAATAGAAATAAAATTGAAAGTCAATGCCACAAATTACCTATTTTATCATGGGGTGCTAATTAATGGACTTTTTGACATCCAAAACATTTGTTAACATTTGTTTACAATGATGACATTGTACTACAATTTTTTTATGAAAAATTCTTTAAGGAATGCACCAATTTTTTGCAAAAAGATAAACTTGTTTTCTTTTTGACTGACTTTTTCATTATTATTACAATCATACCTGTCTATAATGGAATCCCATGGGACCAAGCAATTCTTCTCTAATAGACAGGTTTCTGCTATATACAGGTTTTCTACTACAGGTATCCCTTAATTGATGTGATTAAGGGATATCTTGATACTACCGCATATATTAAATTGGCATTAATCAAACACAGTAATACCTTGACCAATTTGACCAAACCATCACCACCCACTAGAACAAATTTTCAGGTAATAATGAATATTTCTATTTTAACTTAAGCTTTTTTACATATAACAAAATTATCTATGTTAAAAATAAGTGACAAATTTAAAAATAAAATGAAACATTAGAGATCTTATCATCATCAGACAATATCATACTCAATCCAGTTTTGTTTTTTTTTTTTTTAATTTATGTAATGATTGTGGAACTCGATTATCATCATGTTTTACAACAATTTCAAGTGGATGAAGTGTTTCAACAATACATGTCTGTTTCAGCTTAGTGATTTGTTGCAAATTCGCTAGTTGTTATTCATCAATTTTTAACAATTTCTTTACACGGTTTCTCTTCGTCAATAGCTTCTGGACTGCCAATACATTTTATATCTGTTCAAAATTTTTTGAATGAAACTTTCAAAACAATATTTGACATGTTCAAAGTTTAGGAGCATCCTCCTCATATGCACTACAAGTATTTTTTACTATTTGTATAGTGTTGTATTCTGTACAAAACTTGAAAAGCATAATATGACAGATATGCATTTTATCTGCAGGCATTTCAACTTGATTTTATTCAAACAAAATGTGATATAAAAAGTTTAAAATAACCTTCTAAACAAAAAATACAATCTCACTTCAGCAATAATGTGTTAAATTTTCACAACTGTTATAATTAAATTACATATCTATGTTAAGTAAAGACAGCTGTTAAAAATAGGCAAAAAACTTTCTTAAACATGGAAGAGGATACTGAATTTTCCATTATATGGCCTTATTTTCCTTTCCATTTGCACAATGAACAGGTTCTACTGTATACAGGTTTGTATTTTTTAATTTTTGAAAATGTGACCATATTTTTATGATGATTTGAAAATATATTTTGATGTTAATATTTTTTATTTTATAATAAATCTTACAAAAACTGTAAAAAAAAAATAAAGGAAAATAATGTTTATAAAAGAATTAAACTTCTACTTAGCTATTTAATCAGGAAATTTCAGAAACTTTTTAAATGTAGTTTATTAATTTGCAAATTTTTCATGTGGGAAATGAGAGAATATTTCATTTTAATTTAAGCTAACATGAAATTTCATTCATTAAATAGTGTTGAAAAGCATTTTGAAATAAAAAAGATTTTTTTATTTTGCTTTTTTAAACTCTGTTTTGGTTTAGTTTTTTGTAAAACTCAAAACTGTGGTTCTGCAACTGAGGCTGACTCATCTTTACTGCAACAACATAACTATGCAAGTAGGCAGCAATATAAAAAGGGACTGAACTTATTACAAACAAAATGTTTCTGTTTTATTTTTAAAACACAAGATCCCTTCATTTTAGTGAATTTCCCCAATTAATGTCTATAGGCTTTCCTGAGACTATTTCCTTTTTTGCAACTATTACCATAATAATAATTTTTTACCACAAATTTCTTTGGTACTGCTTTAATTTTGCCAGAACCTTATTCACAAGATTGAACATATTCTGTAGCCCTGACTAGTTGTATAACTAGTATGCCCAGCAAAATATTTGCTTTAAAAAAGTGTTAATTTACAAATAAATAGGAAAAACAAGGAAGTAAAAATTTATCTACATAAAATTTATTATTATGATACACAAAATTTCTCAGTATATAACATTAGTACTTTAATGAATTGGAAATACGTAGATTTTGCCTTAGCATATTCTGTTTAGATAGATACATACATAATGCTTGTAGATTTGGTTCTATCCCTGGTTAATTCTAACAAAGATTAATATTAACAAGCAAGTGTCTGTTTATTCCTCCTTCATATGACCTTTGTTTCAATAACCATGTAAGTACTTTCACAGTTAATTTGCATACAGAAATGAATACTTGAGTCAATGACATTTAATCAAATGTAGTTTTTCAGTTATTTTCGTCTACCAGTAAGAGTTCTTATTCACTTAGATGCCATTTTATTCAAAAGAAATGACTTCAGTTCTCCTGACCAGAATTGAATTTAAATTCTGTTAATAACAAAATTAATAAATAATTGAGAATAAATAAATGAATATCAACTTGAGGTTATTTTTAGAAGTATTTTTATAGTAGACTTTTTACTGGAGTTCAATAGTTGGAATGGCAGTAAGGAGTAGTGTTGCCACCTTTTCAAAATCACTGACTCGGATGGCAGGTCAGGTTTGTTCAAACAGAAGTTCCTGACGCATGCACAATGTCATTTTACAATGCAAAGAATAACGTGCATACCGGTTGTAAATCAGTTACAGTTAGGGATTAGGGTAGGGGTGGCCAACAGTTTTTGCCCCCGGGCTGGATTGGAAAGAGAACTTTTTCCACGGACTGAACCAGAGGTTGCCCTAGGAAGATTTTGAGGTGGTGCGAGATCTCATTGTGGTGTCACTCCATAGAGACTGAATTGTAGACTGAGATTACAGATACATTTCTCATATTATCATGCTTTATCATGATTTGTAATGGAGGGTTAACTCTAAATGCATGGTGAGTTGTTGACCCTTTTTTTTTTTTTATTTTTAGGCATCAGAATTTTTCATCAAGTTATTCAGACTTAAGTAGCTAAATTGAAAGATTGATTGCAGGCCACATAAATTCATTAGATGGGCCGTATGTTGGCCATGCCTGGACTAGGGATTTGCGTAGGAGTAATGTGAGTAACCCTAAATTAAGAAAGAACATGTACAGATGACTTAGCTCTATTGGATATTGGAGATGGTGACATGTACGATCATACATGCAAAAAATAAAAAAAGTCGACAGGTTGCATGCCACACATTGGTATTTATGCCAATGTGTGGCATGCAACCTGTGCAAATTACATGGCAGAATTGCATGACTAACCCAGACTAACATGGCAGAATTGCAGGTGAGTTTCAGTGAGTGTGAGTTCTTTCGCTGTTAAAATAGTGTAAATTTGTAAAAATATTTGCAAGAACTTTGTTTCATCGTAATTTCACAATTTCTACGAAATTCCTGGACAAAATTAATAGTTCACCTGGAGAGTGAGTCAATTTCCAGACTTCTGGGTGAAAACCGGACGGGTGGTAACACTAGTAAGGAGCATCACTACAACAAGAATGTAATTTGGCACATTTTTGTTCCTAATTACTTTAAATGAAATTAAACAGTAAAATTGATGTAATTAGAGCTTATCTACATTAAATAAGCTTCAAAATGATGTATAAAATGTAAATTAATTCATTTGCAAGTACCTTAACAAATTAGAAATAGATTTTACAATAGTGTATTCTGTATATGTAGATGTTGCTGTAAAAGTCAATAACACTATGAATGTTGAGAATAAATAGAAATTGTCAACATTTACCATGCAGATTTAGGGAATGTTGAAAATCAGTATGTTTTAAGATGATTTTCTGCATTTACCATGGAATGCTTGATTTGTAATTCCAAAGAATTTTCATTTTATGATTTATTAACTTGAAAAATTTATGAAAAAAATAAATCTAATTTTCTGTTTTTTAAATATTGTGTTTAATAAGTTAGTTTTAAAATATTATGAAATAATTTTTGATTCTGTATATTTAAACATTTTATTTTTAAATATTTCTTACATAATATGTATATTAGGTTATAAATAAAATTTGATTATTAAATTATATATATAAACCCAAAGCTTGATGTATTAATGCTAATCCAAACAATTGCCATAATTAATCAGGCTACCAAATTACTTAATATCTATTTATTGATAGTAGCAAAAAATAGCTTGATTGATTATAGTGATTGTTTGGATTTGGATCAAGTATTAAATTATATTTATTACACTATATATAACTTAAATAATGATAAATTAAGATTTTTATTTTTATATGTGTGATATTTTCATTTTTTGTTTTTTGAAATAAACTATTATTAGAATGTTAAACTTGTGAAAATTTGTTTTAGCTGAAGAAAATTTTAATTCTGGCTCTCCAATGAAAACAAAGTCACGCTTATCCAAAACATTGTATGAAGTCCTTCATGATCATGGAGCACTTGCTTATTTCATTCAGTTTATGGAAGCACACAATGCTAAACATTTTGTTAAATTTTGGATAGAAGCAGAAAGTTTCCTTGTATCAGCAAGGACACGTTTAAAAGATCAGATTGAACATGATAAGTGTGCCTTGACAGAAAAAGTTTCTGGTTCTGTGTTACATCCTGAGGGTAGAGATTCAGATAAATCAAAAGTCTTCCTGGCAAGCCAACATCATAATGAAACAAATGAAGAAGATAGTTTTACAGTTTTTAGTGAAGATACCAGTTTCAAAGATAAACAGTTAAAGTCATTTTTAACTAATTTTGAAAAAGATAAAACTTCACACTCATTAACTAAGCAAACTGTATCAGAAGTAAAAACTTCCAGTGAAAATAATCATCCACTCAGGGTACCATTAGAAAATGTAAATAATGATGATAAAACATATGATGCACAAACTGAATTGAAAAAGTATGACAGTACTGTAAATAATGTAAATAATAAAATTGTCCCTAGTGTGAATGAAAAACTATCATCAGAAAGTGAAGATAAACAAAAATTTCATAATTCTAGTGAAAATAATGACTCGAATATGCAAGGTATTCTTCAATCCTGTATGAAGGAAATGAAAGCTGCAGATGCCAATATAGATATGGTACCTATAGTAAGAAGTAAGTTTTTTCTTTTAATATAACATTTAAATTCATTTTTTATAGCTAATAAATATTTTTTTTTACTATTAATTTTATTCATAATTTTCTAATGAATTTCCAATATATTGGCAGTTGAAGTGCAGAAATTCGATATAATTGTAAAAGTTTAGATGGTACTCCTCTGCACTCCTTGCACTCCTCTGTATATACTCATGGGTGGATGGTACTTGCTCAAGCTGTGTGAGAAATATTGATATATGGGCCAACACCAACACCTATGAATAATCTGATACTAGTCAACTAGCCCTACTAGTCTCTCTGGAAATTTCCTGACTTGATGGCTCTATTTGCCCCTATATATATACTATATATCAGTTTTATAAATTTAAGTTATTTAAGATAATATTTTAACAAATACAATTGCTAACTTATTAAATTAATTTGATTCATATTTGGTTGAAATTAGCAATAATCTATTTTGTATAAAATATACAAAATAGATTATTGCTAATGAAAATCTGAAATCAATGTTCTTATAATGTTGTTAAGATTGTAAATTATATTTCCACTAATAAGATGGCAACAAATAATGAAGAAATTTATAAATATTTAGTAAATTTTTATTAATAAAAAATATTTAATATACAACAATAAATTTTATTTTTTCTAGAAAAGTTTGAACAGTTTGTTTATAAATTTAAAATTGAAATTTATTTTATTAAATGTCAAACAAAAGTTGTTATACAATAACAAAATAACAATATTACCTTAAAATATTAATTGTTTAATTTAACCTTTTTGGTTAATATTTAAATAATATAATATTTTACCCATGAAAGGCAAATTGAATAATGAAAAAGATAATTTAAATAAAAGCCAAGATAATTTTTAAAAAGTAAGTACTATATATCTGTGCAGAAAGACAACCTTCAGATAAGACGAGATATAAATTTTTGTCAAAGTTTTATAGTTTTAGAATACAGTCGACCCCCCCCTATAACACTGTTGATTATTCCGTTTTATATGAATTCCATGTTGTACGAGTCACTTAAATTTTACAAATATGTGAGCCGTTCACAGCTCAGCACATGTATTTGTAAAAGCTAAGTGACTCATACAACATGGAATTCATATAAAACGGAATAATCAACAGTGTTATAGGGGGGTCGACTGTATATCTGTCCTATAAGATGACCCCCAAACTATCAACGGCCTGTGAATTTAGTTTAGATCAATGACCATCATCTGGATAATAACACTGTGTAGTGTATATGGAATTATGTCCTATTTGTATTTTTTGTATTCCTTATCCTAATTTTTTGAAAGAACTTCAAATTTTATTTTTTTGCATCTGGCAGCACTGCCTTGCGATTGTTGCAAACATTGGCGCTGATTCGGGCATTCAGGTAATGACCTTGACTATTCACAAAAATGTCGTATGGGCTATTCTATTTTGTGGACGTACCCTATTCTCTACTAGTAAATAATTACGGTTTTTCCGTTTGTTAATATTGATTTTAATTTATATAACTTTCAATCAAATTTTTTTGTATCTGTCCTATAAGACGACCCTGGATTTTGGGGTCTTTTTTTATGATATAACTATCATCTTATTTGCACAGATATATGGTATATAAATATGAATAAACTTAATTTAAAAATTCTGTTATTTAGTCTTTAATTCAGCAAAATTATCAATTATTTCATTATAATTAATATTATCCAAAGCATTTTGTTTGATGTATAAAACAACTAAAGAATTTAATTTTGATTCACTGAGTGAGTTACATAAATAATTTTTTACACGTTTAACACTGAGAATAAATTACTTTCAATAAGAAGAAACATAAGAACACATTTTCTTTAGACTGTAGAATTCACAATAACCATATAAAAATCAATATATTTTTTGTTTATTTGGCTATTATATACAGTTGTCCAACAGAAAAGTAAACTATCTTATTTACAAATCTTCTCAAAATAGACAGTTTGATCAGGCCCTTCTAAAAACCGTGCCCTAGACATTTGTCTATGCAATGATCCAGCCTTGTTTGTGTAATATATTATTTGTTATTAAAATCATTTTAAATATATGATTTTGTAAGAAATGATAGAATGTACTATTAAGAAGTAAATATTTTTTCTATTAAATAAAGTTATGTTTAATAAAAAAAAATATTTCAAACAACACAAGACACATTTTCATTATTACATCAAAACTTTAAATATAATAAGAAACATTACTCTAACTTCAGATTAATTTTCAGCTTTTATTTTTTCTGTGTACTTAAAAGATTTGTGAAATGTAAACATATTAATATGTAGCATTATACTATTTTTTTGCATTATTTATACCTATACATTATATATATTACAATTTTACATTATACATTAATTATTTTTAATTTCCATTAAAAATTATATATGTAAGATTAAAACTAAGCATTAAAATTGCAGAAAATATGTATAAACTAGCATTTTTTACATAAATGAAATTTACAATGACACAGACATTTATTTTAAAATATTATTTTCATTAAAAAATTTGGCATATATGTTGTTTCTCATCCATAGCTTTATTATTAAATTATGTGAAATAGAATTACACTAATTTATAATTTTTTGTTTTGTTGACTTTATGGAAAAAATACATCTTTCATTCTTGAATTTTAGAAGATAGGGGGAAGAATATTAACATTTTTGAGATTGTATGAAAGACTAAAATAAGATATCCAAATTTTTCAAGATGTGAATACAGATAAAGTTTATAGCAATAAGTTCATTAAAAAATTGACAGATAAAAAGAATAAAAATTAATAATAAAAATTTGAAATGATGACAAAATAACAAAAGTATAAGAGGAATATAATGTATTGAATAGAAGAAAATGGTTTAATTAAAACTTTCTTCTGTGATACTTTTTGATTCTACAGTAATACCCCAACTTACGCGATAGGTGGGACCAAGTGATAACCATGTAAGTCGAATTTGTGTAAGTCGGGGTATAATTTCGCAATTTGTGTGAAATCCAAGTCAGATGTATGTAAGCTAATAAATGTTCTCGTTAATCTTATCTCGTCTTTTGATTTGTTTACAGTTACAAGAAATCACCACATAGAGTCTCTCAAGTCTCCGTAGATATAACAAACACAGAAATAAATAACACAAAATAAATTGTAGCTATGTGTCGATTCTGCGCAACACGTCCGAACATGTAAGCTGAACAATAGTGTGGGGGGGAGTGAGTAATCAAGAGTTGCATGGCGCTCAAACAAAAGACGAATCGATGAGATTTAAAAATCGCATAAGTCGAGGTAGCATAAGTTGAGGTATTACTGTACTTATAAAGATTGGAATCAATAGCTAACATGTTCATTGGTTCCAAGTTTAAAAGTAATGACAAAAAATGGGGAAAAATATTTTAGTGTTGAAATGAATTTATAATTAAAACTATTATAATAAAATTATGAGTGATTTAATGTAATGAAATAATGATAAAATTAGAGTTATGAAATATATCAAATAATAATTATATCAAATAGTAATAAAATAGCATTCTACTGAATGCCAGTAGAATGCTATTTTATTACTATTTGATATAAAAAGTTATTTTTTGATTTAAGTCTTGACTTGGATATTTTATCTTTCTAATAAAACATTTAGATTAAACTTTAAATAAAAAATAAATATATTTCTCAATTTACAGATTTTAAAATAAAAAATGCAAACATTTTTTGTAAATATTTTTAAAGTTTAAGACAGCATTTATAGATTTGGAAGAAAGAAGTTTCCATTGTAAATAGAAGAAATGTCTGAATGATTTGTTTTATGAAATGAAACATCTAAATCTCCTGTATTGATGATAAATTTTTCATATTAGTGAATATTTCCAGTTATAAATAAAAGAAAAATTGTGAATAAAAGCATTTTAATATCTTGATTAATGTAATAATTTGTTATTTGAAATATTATAAAGGAGGAGAATAAACAACAATAATTTTATGTTATTTTATATAGTTCATAACATGTATAGTTTTCTTTCATATGCTATAGGATAGAGACAGGAAATTTAATATTCAAAACTTGGAAAATGTGTGAAAAATGTTAGAGCTGAATTTTGCTGTCTAAATATTACAAAAAATAGGGAATATTTCTTATTAATTTTAATAAAAACAAAAGTTGTTTTTTGCATAACTAGCTATCCTTTACAACTTTAATTTTTTCTCAATCTTCAGATTTTAAAATTTTATGATTTCTTTTAGCCTTAGAAATTAAGTTAGAGTTATGAGTTCAGTTATCAGATTCTACACTATTGATGTTCCAGATCTACTATCTGGAACCTAGTTTACTTGTACATTGTCAATAAGGTGCCTACTACACCATATTTACAAAATATCCTTTATTACTACTTATTCAGGAAACCAAACACTTTATGTAAGAAAAAGAGAAACATTTTTATTCTTGATTAGAACATCATCAGCTTAAACAGTAATAAATGGAATGCAAATGGCACTCAAAAACTGAATATAAGATTGAACATAAAGAAATGATAGATATGCACCAAACAAAAACTGGAGGTATATTGTCCTAGCCATTGTAATAATAGGTAAGGCTAAGTACTGCTAGTTATTCAAGCACTTTAAGGGGCTTTATACAGAATTTACTCATTTCATCTAGTAGTTTTTTAATAATTCTCCCAAGACCCATTACTTAGTGCACCTGTCCATCTAGAGCAGTGTCTGCCAAACTATGTGCTGTGAGAGATTTCCAGATTGAAGATCATCATTAGTCTCAAACCTTGCCCTCCTAGCCACTTTTCCTGTTCAGAAAAGAGATGGAAGTTGAGCTGTACAGGTGGAAGTCTGAAAGGTGGAAGACTTCCACCTTTCAGACTTCCACCCAGCTTAAAACTTTTAATGTGTGAAGACGTTCACCTCTTNTTGTAAATATTTTTAAAGTTTAAGACAGCATTTATAGATTTGGAAGAAAGAAGTTTCCATTGTAAATAGAAGAAATGTCTGAATGATTTGTTTTATGAAATGAAACATCTAAATCTCCTGTATTGATGATAAATTTTTCATGTTAGTGAATATTTCCAGTTATAAATAAAAGAAAAATTGTGAATAAAAGCATTTTAATATCTTGATTAATGTAATAATTTGTTATTTGAAATATTATAAAGGAGGAGAATAAACAACAATAATTTTATGTTATTTTATATAGTTCATAACATGTATAGTTTTCTTTCATATGCTATAGGATGGAGACAGGAAATTTAATATTCAAAACTTGGAAAATGTGTGAAAAATGTTAGAGCTGAATTTTGCTGTATAAATATTACAAAAAATAGGGAATATTTCTTATTAATTTTAATAAAAACAAAAGTTGTTTTTTGCATAACTAGCTATCCTTTACAACTTTAATTTTTTCTCAATCTTCAGATTTTAAAATTTTATGATTTCTTTTAGCCCTAGAAATTAAGTTAGAGTTATGAGTTCAGTTATCAGATTCTACACTATTGATGTTCCAGATCTACTATCTGGAACCTAGTTTACTTGTACATTGTCAATAAGGTGCCTACTACACCATATTTACAAAATATCCTTTATTACTACTTATTCAGGAAACCAAACACTTTATGTAAGAAAAAGAGAAACATTTTTATTCTTGATTAGAACATCATCAGCTTAAACAGTAATAAATGGAATGCAAATGGCACTCAAAAACTGAATATAAGATTGAACATAAAGAAATGATAGATATGCACCAAACAAAAACTGGAGGTATATTGTCCTAGCCATTGTAATAATAGGTAAGGCTAAGTACTGCTAGTTATTCAAGCACTTTAAGGGGCTTTATACAGAATTTACTCATTTCATCTAGTAGTTTTTTAATAATTCTCCCAAGATCCATTACTTAGTGCACCTGTCCATCTAGAGCAGTGTCTGCCAAACTATGTGCTGTGAGAGATTTCCAGATTGAAGATCGTCATTAGTCTCAAACCTTGCCCTCCTAGCCACTTTTCCTGTTCAGAAAAGAGATGGAAGTTGAGCTGTACAGGTGGAAGTCTGAAAGGTGGAAGACTTCCACCTTTCAGACTTCCACCCAGCTTAAAACTTTTAATGTGTGAAGACGTTCACCTCTTTCCTGAATTGAAAATGTGGCTAGCAAAGCAGATGTTTGAGACTAATGATGATTTTCAAAACAATATTAGGGCCCATCTCAAGTCATTGGCGGCAACATTCTATGACAAGGGGATGGAAAAGCTCATCCACAGATATGACAAATTCCTCAATCTTCACAGTGATTATGTTGAAAAGTAACTATGTTTGTACCTAACTTTTGGTAATGAATTCATTTTGTTATTTACACTTGTCTTTGTTTTATGGACCATAGGAGCTTGAAAAACCCACCCTCGTATTTTAAGTCTTGATGATGGAAAACCATTTTCATTAATTAACAATAATTTTCAGCATTTTTAATTATGCATTATTTGATTATTAAATAATTAATTAGTATTAAATTTTAATATTATATATATTATGAAACACATTAACTTAATAAAAAAATAGTTCTTTCCATTTATTTATTAGCATATTTTTCAATTTTCCTACACTTTAATTTGAAATTCTGGCTGACATACAATGTTTAATTAATGCAAATTTTAACTAGATCAACTATCAATATATTATATTTTTGCATTAAAAAAGTTAAACCAGGATTGTCTACAAGTAAATTGTTAAGTAGTTTTTAGTTTATAATTTACATAAATTAATCGATTTTTAGTGAAAATAAAATATTTAAACACGGACAAATTTTTATTGAGACCTCAGAAAAATGAGAAAGAGAGTCATAGCAAACAAGATGAACACCAGAAAACTTCATCAAAACAAAAATATGATGAAAATTACATCTAATATCTACTATATAAAGCTAAAAAACTGGGTTCTGTCACGTTATGCCAAAAACGGCCACTAGGGAAGCCCTAGCTCTTATTTAAATTAACAATAAATTCGGTATATTATTATTTGATGCAGTTTTTTGCATTTTTGGCTGCATTTTAGTAGGGTATGCCATGAGAAATTCAGTATATTATTATTTTTATTTGTAATAGGAATTTATTATTTATACTATGGAATGACACAGCTGCTGCTAGAATGCCCACTAGGGGATGTCATGGGCTACTAGAATAGAAGGATTAAAAGTATGAAATAATCTAATAATTTTAATCTTTGTTGTTGTTTTTTGCACGGGCAATATCAAGCTCATCTTCTGGTCTAATATAATAAGTAATATTGGGTTTACATAGTTTCATAATATATAACATGCCCTGTCCACTTAAACATCTATTCAGGAGCAAAAGAGATATTTTTCCAACATTGCGTAAGTTTATTTAGTAATTTCTATAGGAAAGCAATTTCTGTTGTTGAAAAAAGAGAGATTTTATTAACATAATCTTATTAGAAGAACTATTACTTGTTCTAGTGATAAAATAACTCAAGGTAATCAATTTAAGATGATTTAGCATAATATATAAGTAATTTCTGGCTGTAAAAGATAAAGACTACATTGCAAAAATTGATACAAAAAGTGGAATTTTATTTTGTTTGGGCAAATGTTCAAAATGACTACTTTCAGGCAATACAAAAATGTAAACAGTCAAACGTTGTATTATTAATGGCACAGAAGTCCTGTTGTCACTGTTTCACAGGCCTTTCGTATGTATCCCTAGTTGATCAACAGCATGCAGCCCTGTTAGGTACACATCATACACTGATGCTTTTAGGTAGTCTCACAGGAAAACTCCTGATGGGTTAAGTTTGGGAAAAGGGGTGAATGGGGCCATGTTGTCCTATTCAGCAGTTGTTAAACTGCTCTATGAGCCATCAATGCACATCTATCCAGAAATGAGGCTAGGTGGGCTATCATGCCTTTTAGGTTTAAATTTGATCAAGAAAGCATTTGAATTTTTTAAACATTTTTTAAATACTTGTGAATTGAATCTAAGAATAAATGTCAATGATAAAGTAATGTTCAGATGTTCTTCCATTGACATCTTTATTTTTTGGTTCCAAAGAACACCAACAATTTATTTTATCAACTATTGTCCAGTTCTTACAAATCCACAATTTTATCAGTTTATATACAGAATATAAATAACACAAACAAAATATTAAAAAACTCTTGGAGAATCTCTACATCATTCTCAAAAGAATATTTTCCAAAGTCCAATTCTATTGAACTCATCAGTCGGAATCTTTTTTTTTAAATCCAATCCATGGCAAGACTACTTTCTGGAGGAAAAGAACCATTTAACATTTCGTACAGTATGTTCCAAAACACACAACGTTTTTCAAATTCAAATCAAAAGATTTGATTTTACTAAACCTAACAGAAAATTTCCAAAAATACTCAATATATTATGAATTTGTTTGAAATTTTCTAATAACTGAATACTGTATTTGAGTTATAGTACATTATGAAAGTTAAAATAATGAATCCAAATAAAAAATGTGAAAAATTTAACGTGAGAATTTTAAAAAAATGACATTTTTCAATATTTTTATTCTAGCTGTTTTATTTTAGTTCAATTAGTTCATTGAATATTTATTTAATCATGACTTTATTATTATTATATTCCATAATAATAATTTAAAATTTATTTAGAATATTTATATTTTATTAGATATTCAACAAGATGCCATACATATTTATTCTAAGTATATTGCTCAAGATGCTCCTCATCTTATTGATATATCTGTAAATCTCAGGAATGAAATAATTGGTATGATTTTACAATTTTTGAATATTTGTATTTATTTTTGTGTTTTAAGAATGATTAGCTTTTTTTCTGTTGTTGATTCTTACAGAAGATTACTTAGTAACTTTTTTTGGTCTTTGTCATCTTTGTTACTTCATGGTTGATATTCAGCATAAATGTTTTATATAGTTAATTGAAAATATATTTTGATGATTTTGATTTTATTTATCACAATATGATTTATTTTTAAGTGTTGGAAAAATTTATTGCAAGAAAAAAAATGCTATAAATGTTTTTTACTGAAACTTAAATTTAAGATGTACAGAGTAATTCTCTTTTTGCTTTTTTATATTCTAAACCAAATTTAAACAAAACTATGAAGAGACATAGAATGAATATGAATGACATGTTTTCTTGTAATATCATTAATAACAGTTCATTAAATTTATAAAGTTTATGATCAATTATGCTCTCCAGTCACTTAATAGTATTAGTTCAGAGTCAATTAATAACTTTTTATAATTCAACAAATCATTTAATGTTAATTGTAATTCTGCAGTATTGATAGTTTGTTATATAACACACACACACACACACACACACACACACACACACAGGGTGTATCAGAATAATGTTTTAAAAATTTGGGTTATTGTAGAGGATGAAATTTTGAACGTTTTGATATAAGAAATTTCGGAAATTTGAACTAAAGTGTCTACAATGGTAGGAAGTGCACGACCGTCCTTCACTTTGGTAGCTACCCTTCCGTCCATTGATGTCATGTTATTGCTGCGGATGGAAGATTGTAAACACATAACTACAGTAGTCTAACTGAGCCCATGTACAGGATGTTGTATACTTAGTGCTTGTTGTCCTTCAGGTCAACCCTTGCATCCACTGGCACTGTGCTGTAAATACACAGCTAGTCAACGTGAGTTCCTTGTGTATGCAACACCTGTAGGAACAGTTCATAAGCTTATGGAGCGCATCTTTACAGCATTTAATACCATCAGAGGGGAGCATGGCATCTTACAGAGAGTCAGACAAAACGTGGTTTTCGTTGCACATTATGTAACGAAGTTGGTGGTCGTCACATTGAACATTTACTCTAAAGTAGTGCAGCCACTGATTCAATGTACAGTTTGATTGTACTCTACTGTTTTGTCAATAAAACTTGTCATAAATACTGTATTCTGCTGTTTCATTTATCATACCGACCACATAGAACATGCAAAGTGCTGTAGAAACTTTATATCTCATTTCTGTCTATAAGTTCCTTATATCAAAACATTCAAAATTTCATCTTCTACAATTCCCCAAATTTTTAAAACGTCATTCTGATACACCCTATATATATATATAGACTATTTAGAATAATTTAACTAGTGTTTGCCATGTAATTTTTTGCTTATAAAATCTTTTGAAATTGATAATTATCACTTGAAAATTTTTGATTTCAAGTGATGGAATATGATGATAAAAAATAGATTAAGCATAATTACAATTTTTAAATTTTTCTAATGAAACTTTCTTTTCATAACTGAAGCCTGTATATATTTTGTGTAAAAGGAAGTATAATATAGAAATTACAGTAGAGTAATGTTAAACATCAAAAGAAAAGTTCACTAAAAAAAAAACAGTTAAAACATGAGTATTTTCATTTTTAATATGTAAGGATCCTTCAGGTTACAACAAATTTCTATAGAAATTGTTTTAGAATAGAACAATTTGATGATTTAAAAAAAGTCTTTAACTTACATCTGTTTGTTCATAAATGATTGATTAAAATATAAAAGGAGGGGGAGTAAAAATTTTAAGAAAAATGCGGACGTAATTTATGGACAAAATAATTGCAATAATAGACAAAAAAAAATTTATACATAAAAATAAAGTTATTTACAACAAAAAATAATCAGTTAAATTATTTATGAATAATACTTAAACAAAACTAACAAAACTCTTCCAGTTTCTAGGAGCCAGAAATAGTGTTTTTCTGTTTGAAAATGAAATTATGGTAATTATTTTCATCATCTGTAATAAAACACATAAATCGTCATCATAATACATCTAATATAGATCAGAATCTAAGAATTTTTTTGATGTTTGACATTATTCTACCATGAAATCTATTTTATAGTTCCTTTTTTTCAATTATAAAGTTATCTTTCATCATTTAGTGGAAACAAATGAGTGTTTCATTAAAAATTTTAATGTAATAGAATTATAACCAGAAAGATAGATATGTTTATTTTAATAAAAACTTTGAGGACAAATTAAATAGTTATGAAACTATTAAATTTGTCCTGAAAGTTTTCATAATAAAATTCAAGAACAAGAACATGAGATGTTTTATGGTTAACAAAATTTATACAACTGTTAATTAAGGAAACTAAAATTTTTATTTGTGAAATGTTTTACAGTTAGAATACAAAATTTAAAGCATATTAAAGTATATTCAAAAGTGATGACAATTATTTTATTAGAATAGTTAGACTATATTTAGTAACTATTGAAAATTAAAAATTTTAAAAATACAGAAAATTTAAAATCAATCAGAATAAAATACAAGCATGATTGAATTTTGAATATATTTTTTTGTAATCTAGATGATTTCAATTACTTATGAGTCTGTAGCTTGAAGTAAGCTTATAGAATAGAAAGAGAGATGAAAAGAGAGGGAAGAAAATGATAAAGAAAAGATATAAAAATACTAAAAGTACTTTTATAACTTTTCTTTATCATCTTGTACTTTTTATAAGTCTTTTTTTTTTTTCTCTCATTTTTACTTTCTGGCTCTGTTATACATAACAGAGGGAAAGTATGGCAATCAGTCAAAAAATTTTTTTTTTTTTTTTTTCTGTATGTATGGATGTTTTTGTGTGTATGTGGCACAATTTTGTTCATTTTCTTTGAAGCTCAATTCCTGTGCTTTTTGTTGAAAGTTTCTGAAATTTTCCAGAGTTTGTTTTTTAAGGGGATTGATGCTATTAAATTTTGGTGATTATAGGATGATGGCGTGAAGGAGATAAAGCAGGTTGTGTGTTTCTCCAGTAGAGTCAGACTTAATGAGGATTTTTTCATTATTAGCATTTACAATTTTTTATAAAATCCATTCTTACTCTTAAAATTAAGCTTTTTGCCATTTTATAATAATTAAACTAAAAAAAGTTTTTAATAATAAAATGTCATAACAGATGGCGGCCCTCCACAGTTTTAAATGTTGACAGGAATGATAAGCACCTCTTTGCTGGACTTTTTTCTTCTATTTCTCTCTTTTTTAAAAATCTTTTTATGCACTTCTCTTTGAAAAAATTTAGAAAACAGAAGCAGTAGTTTATCATTTGTAAATATTTCATTATTTTTGTGTATTTTTTTTATTTAGTCTACTATTTTTATGTATTCCATTTTTAATATAGAATATGCAAAAATGAAACAATCTCAAATTTATGAAAACATTTCCTTTTACATTTTTATAGCAACTGCTTTGTTTTACAAAGAAAATGTAGTTTATTTTTGTCAATGGTTTAAGATAACCAAATATTATAACCAAGAAAACTCAAACTGATATTTTTACTTTGATAATTTTAGAAAATCAACATTATTCTAAAACAAAGTTTATTTTAATATCATTTATATTAATAAACATGTTTAAAAATATCAGAGTTGGCAATTAAAAGTTTTTTGTATTGTTTTTATATTTTTAAATTATATCTTTGAATTTTATTAAAAATAAATAAATAAATTTAAAAATAAAAAAAATTATATTAAATCTTTTACATTATATCTAAATTACATATGAATCACAATTTTTTTTTTAGAATTTACAGTTACATGAAAAATTAAAGTAACATTTAGTAAAAATAATTTCAGAATTTATTCTTCCTATTTGTTAATAATTTTAAAACCATATAAAAAGTTATGTTGTTATTATTTTAATTCAATATTATAAATATTTTAAGTCTGTAAATATTTTTAATCAAATTGTGTTAAGAACTTTTCTTGTTTTACATAAATTTTATATAATTGATGCAAATTAAATTCTTGCAGCTAATATTTGTAAAGAAAATGGTGAAGTTGACCCTGAAAGTTTTGTCCCTGCACAGAAGTTTGTTGTTGAGAAAATGGATAAGGAGTAAAATGTTTTTTTTTATAAATTAAAATATTTAATTTATTATATATTTAAAATATTTCAATAAAAATTTTTTTTCATTTATATTCAGTTTAAATTAATTGCATAAAATTTATAAAGATTTTAATTTAAAACTGTATTAGATATTTTAAAATATATAAAACATACAATATTTCAAAAACAGTATTGCTTACTATAGATAGTAATTATACATTGAAACATTTAACAACCATATGGTAGGTAGTATTTCTGATCTTTAACAACTAGTATGGTGTTTGCCATATTAATTGTTAAAGTTCAGAAATACTTTGTACTATTGTATACCGGCTGAATATGTTGCCAGTATTGAAATTAATGAATTTCCATGTTGTATCTCAAAATTATAATAATTAAAATTACCATAAGTTATTTATATTAAAATATATTAAATAAAATTTTTTAAAAGTAATTTTCAGCACATTTTTACAGTAGAGCGTCGTTTATTCGAATCAATTGGGGACTGGGGTTGTTCGGATAACTTATTTTTCGGATAACCAATTATGTACGAAAAAATATATTAATTTATCCAGTGTTGAAATTTTTCTCCGTTGTGTGTCGCTTTGCGTTGAATTTTCGTTGATGTTAAGCCTAATGAAGACTATTGTATCGTTAAAAATTATTTTTTTATTTTGTACAAACAAAATAAATATATTGAAAAATATAAAAACTAATAAAAAATTATACTTCAGAAGTTAATTTAGTATCAAAAGCGTAAAATATTTGAGTAGCCGAAGACATAGCCAAAGATTACAGCGCCACAGCACTGGCGAGAATTTAAATTTGCCGACTGGAATTCCTTCGGATAAACGACACTCTACTGTATTAATTTTCTCTTATTGTTAAGTAAATTATGTTTATAATAAATATATGCATTAATATATTGTAAATATCTAAATGAAATGCTGTTGCTATGTGTTTATCTGATAATGAATGATGTCATTTATGATAGTTTATATTCTAATTTATTAATTTATATTTTGAAGAATCATAAAATTTTAATAGTTGTGTGTGTTTATTTTTAACCATAACATTTTATTCTAAATCTATTATGGTTTATCATAATACATTCAGTTATATTAATCTGAATTGTCATCCAAGTGTCTTATATTGCTTGCTAACTGCTTACTATTTGTAGTTAATGATTTACAGGACCTAAGAATACAAAAACAACTTTGTCTAGTATTAGGTTATTCCAAGAATTTAACTTTTTTGACTAAATTCATAGCCATCCATAAAAACTTTACAGTCAAAGAACTTAGAAGAAAATTTATTCAAGCAATGCATGCAACAATAGATAATATTCACATAAACTATATGCAAGTGCATTTTATGTTAAGAAATTAAACAAAATTCAGAATGCATTTGAAATTTTCAAAACAAAAGAAAATCTAGTCAACATTTAAGTAATAGAGATACATAAAACATGTAACTGATTATGAACTAAATTAATGTGATATTAGAGTTCATGATGCTTACTTGTATTTTACACACAAATCATTGTTTTTCAGCAAACTTGACTGGCTATTTTTAACATTACAAGAAAAAAATTGACAAACAAAAAAAATTTCTTTGAAATTGATATTTTTATTTTCATGTGATTTTGTGTCTTTTTAATCCTGCTTTGCCAGGTTTTAACTAATTTTGTTTATTGTTTTATCTCTATATGATATGTCACTGTTTCATTATTTTTTCTGAAAAACTCCAAAAATGGAATAAAAATGAGGCATAAATAAAAACCTTATCACTTTGTAGTGCTAGTGATGAACATCAGGAATTTGTTTTTGCACCCAATTACATGGGTCCACATGTAACCTTTTAAAGGATACCTATACTCTTTAAAAGTTTGTGTGCATGTGAAAAAAATTCATAAATGAGCAACATCATTTTAAAAATTGATTATAGAAAATAATTACTAATCTATTTAGCTGTTTCAATTGAATGTTCCTTCTAATAAATTGTATTCAAATTTTTTAAAAGATTAAACATTTTAGTATTTACATAATTAAATTAATTACTTAATTAAAATTATTGATTAAGAGATGCATTTTAAATTTTAATAATTAAATGATTCTAAAAAGAAAACGTTTTATTATAACTTATATAAAAACAACTTTTTCTGTTCTTAATCAATAACTGAAACTCACTATTAAACAGAAATAGGTATTTTTATTATTTATTAATAAATCCTGAATCAGTTACAAAAGTATAACTTTAATAAATTTGTCTTATTAAATTTCCAAAATTTATTAAAATATTAATTAACTGAATGAAAACCTAATCAGAAATTAATTTTAACCATATGACAATAAATGTTGATACAGTATCAAACCAATTATCCAACACGCTTGGGACTGGAAGAGATCTAGATTTCTGGATTTTCTGGACACAAGATAAATATATAATTAAAATATAAAGTAAACAATGGAAAGTAAAGAACAAAACTGTTTTTAAAACACCAAATGTCAGCAGTCACACTGAAACTAACATCATGTGACATGCATACCATAGACTATACATTGCAAAACATAAACAAAGTGGCTGTGCAGTGAATTACAGGTGTACTACAGCCCATTAAATTCAAAAATAGCTAATTTTTCTGATAATTATGGACTTCTAGAAGCTGGATATTTGATTCAGTACTATACTACTAATTTGGAATTTATATGATCTAGAATGTATTTTATTATCTGCTTGTCTAAACATAAGTATTTACATTATTAAGTAAGGAATCAATTAAAAATATAGATTAAATAATATTTTCTGTATGTTTAGCTTTAATTCCTTAATATTATTACACAGGATTTATCTAAAGATGAATTATTAATTTTTTATTTAACATGCTTTTAGGTATTCATTTATAATTAAAAAAATACTCTTAAAGATTTTTTTAAAAATATAGATTACTTTAAATACATTTATAAATGTAAATATTATCAATTATAAAATGAAATTAATAAAATAATTATTTAATAAGATTTCATCGTTAAATATTACTAATTTAAATATTAAATAAAATGAAGACAAATTTTGATTAAAATTATATGTTTCAATTAATAGCCAATTGATCATTTTGATTTAAAAACGTTTCTTTGTTTAAAATAAAAATTCTTAATTAAATCGAGTTTTTGCTTTATTTTTTTTTATAAATTGTATAACCTCTGAATTCAAGTATTTATTATTTATATTCTTTATTTAGTATAAAATGTAAAGATTATGTCTATATATTTTTTAAAATTTGAAAATGTTTTTTGTTCAATGATTGTGTAAAAAATTTTAGTTTTGAATTATGCAGTAATACAGTTTTATATTATAGTAACAATTATAAAATATATTACTTAAACAAATATCAAATTTATTGAATATAATTAATTTTATGGAAATAAACAATATAATTAAATTATTTCAGATATTTTCCAGCTTTTCTAAGGAGTACTTTTCATTGCAAGCATCAGATTGATGTTTTAACAAGTGGCAGTGTGTATTTAGCTGATGTCTTATATAATGATTCAGCATTATTTTACTTTATGGAAGTAAGAAAATTATTACAAATACTTCAATTACTTTAAATTTACCTAAATCAGTTTAGACTTAAAAAATTTAATGTACAAGAAAACTAAACTTCTCGTATTTAACATTTTTAGTATGATGATGATAAATATTTAAAGTTAAATTTAAAAAAAAAAGTTGTTTCTAAGAAGTTTTTAAAAACTATGAAAAGTTTTTTTACATCATAAATATGCTTTATATAGTATAAAATGTAGAGATTGTCTAAATATTTCTATAAATTTAAAGACAGTTTTTGTATTAAATGATTATGTAAAATACTTCTAAGTTGTATAAAAATGCCCATAGAATAAAATCTTTTTCTTAATGTTCATTTAAATGCTAGGATTGAATTTTCTCTTTCAGTTGAAAACAGATTAATTAAAACTGAAAAAATATGATTTTACAGATTAATTGAATTGATAATCAAAAAATAATAATATTTAAACTATCAAACTTATTCTACTAATTAATTTTCAAAAACAATGTTTACATATTACAAATAATTTAATTCACAAACTATTTACAATAAATCTTTAATGCTAAAGGCCAGTTGCACAAGTTACTATATAAACTACAGAGTAACTATCTGAGGAATAAATTTAACTAAGGAATAACTACACTTGTTGCATAAGTTTCTTTGACTCATTAAATAGCTATCAATCAATTAGCCAAAATATTCTTACTGCATGTTATTGAGAGCAATGATAAACATGATGAAGTAAAAAATGAACAAGCAAAGCCATGATACGGATTGGAGTATATATAAAAATATTTATTAAGAGATTTGGTAAATTTTATATACAATATTTTAATGTAAGTAGTTTATATTAAAATAATTAATAATTTCATGTTATAAAGTAAGAATTTTATGTATATAAATATAACAGTTATCTAATTTGAGTTTTTGTGTATTTGGACTGCCATAGAAAAATTGAAAAATTCATAATATAAAGTAAGATTTACTTAATTCTGATAATTAATGTAAAACTGGTTTTTTAAATCAAAATCATTTCTCGAAACTTACAATCACTTTACAATGTTGTAAGATCTGATCTTAAAAACATTCTGACAATGTTAAGACAAACTTTCTTTAAATATTCTAAATAAAGAATACCCACATTGGAATTAGAGCTGGTCATCCATCTTGTTTCTTTGCTAATCTGCAGAATAAATTTTAACCACTTGAAATCAACTGCTTAACTTATTCAAAGATTTACTTACATTTGTGCAATGTATTGACAGCAGTTCTATAGATTAAGATGTATTTAACCTTGAGACGAAAATGTGTGCAACTGGCTCTAAATAAGACACAGTTACAGTTAACTAAAAAAATATAATCACTAAAATTAGCAATAATTATCACTTTTTTAGGAGATACTCATCTGTATCAGAATCCCTTCCACTTAAAGCTGAAATCAGATGAACTATCCTAAGATAGATCATCTGATTTGAAGAACTGATAGTTCATCTTAGGAAGGGAATATCTTGAAAGACATAATTCTGTAACTAAAATTTTTTTATTTGGAAATTATGATAGGTAAATTTTCCTGTCTAATTTACTTCTTATAAATTCCATCCTCCATATATGTTAGAAAATGAACATAATATACTTTGCGATGCTGATATAATTGCACAGAAGTGCAATGATATGGAACAGATCAATAAACTACAAGTTCTGGAACATAAAGAATCCCTATTAGGGATGATAGGTTCAACTGAAACATATATTGCTAGTGGACAGGCTGACATAACATAATCACATGATTGAAAAGAGGAAACTGGTCACAGCACTTCCTACCTTTGTTGCCAGGTGTAGAGTTAAATCACTGAATAATTTTCTAAGGGAAATTATAACAATACTAAATAATTTAATAATAATACTGATGATTATCATTAATATTTCAATAATAATTGAGGCCTATGCTATAAATAAGTTCGAATCAGACATATTTTGGTTATGAAAATAATGATATTCTATAAAAAACATATAATCAGGCAGGAATTTTATGATTAGTGGATTTTTTTGTTTTGAATAAACTAAACTAAATGTAAATAATAATAATAATAATCGGCTCGGACGTCGCCCGGGTTAACAAGGTCCGCATTTGTGGGTTAGGCAGAGGCTCACATTCGAAAAATAGGCCACAGTCTCGCTTGGTTACTGGTGGCGAAAGCAACACCGGCCCAAGCATGNATTCACAATTTCTGGTACAAAAAGTTTACATCACTGCACTAGGAACTAGCTAAACATCTAACACAAATCATCATGAACCTACAAGACATGCCAAAATTTCTTACTCAGGGAATTACCTACATGAAATCTAAAAACAACAAAACCATAGATCCCACACAATACAGATCAATTACATGTCTTCCAACACACTACAAATTATTGACATTCTGTATCACAAACAAAATATACAAACATGTTGAAGAACATGACATTCTTACAGAACAACAAATAGGTTGTCCTAGAAATCACAGGGGATGCAAAGAACAGTTACTCATAGATTCAGTCATTCTATGGCAAGCACACAAACAACACAGAAACATACACACGGCATATATAGACTACAGAAAAGCATTCGATAGTGTTCCACACAGTTGGCTGCTACATATTCTACACATGTACAAAATACATCCATCACTCATTGCATTCTTCCAAAACACTATGCAGCACTGGAGAACAACACTACATCTCAGGGTTAGTAACACTTCCATACAAACAAACGAAATATTCATTAGGCGAGGAATTTTTCAAGGAGATTCCTTGAGTCCTCTCTGATTCTGCCTAGCCTTGAACCCACTATCCAACATGTTAAACAATACACAATATGGCTACAATATCAGACATGAAAAACAACACAGTTTACGCTGTCACATCTCATGTACATGGACGACATAAAACTTTATGCATTCACACAGAAACAACTTCAACTCCTACAAATCACACATTCATACACCAAGGATGTACAAATGGAGTTTGGCTTAGACAAATGCAAAAAACACAGAAAAAGGAATCCTGAAGAAAGAAGATTTTGCACTTGGAAATGGAGAAGTTATTAATAAATCCATGGAAGAGGGCAAGTTCTACAAGTATTTAGGATTCCAACAGACCAAACTAACAGAACATACACAAATAAAGCAAAGATTAATTAAAGAATACCAAAGTAGGTTAAATGC